ACGCATTATTGAACTTAACGCTTTAACAGAATCGCACGTATTGAATTGTCCTTGGTAAATTTTCAGTTGTTTACGCGCGCGCACCGGTTTTTCAATAGTTTCAAGTTTTTAAAGTCAAGAACCGTTTATGTCCTTCTTTTTGTCTTCTCAGGAATATAATTATCCATTTACATCTAAATTTTCTTCCAAAACTTCGGAAGAACAATGAAAACGTCGCATTTCGTGGACGACCGACAGCTAGTGCATTTTAATGGCTGATAGTATACGAGTAGCTCAGCCAGTCAGATTGCAGCATTTGTTACCGCTAGAGTTCCGAGTTGTCTAGTTCCCGCGTAGAGCTGCCACAGATTGGGAACCGTGGTTTACCCGTACAATAGAACATTTCACTGGCTGAGATATCAATAACACGAATATCTTTTCATTCAACATATACATGGAAATTTGCAAGGAAAAACAGCACCACAAGTTGGTCGTCATATCAAGCTTTATCTTTTTTTCCACGGCAATACTTTTACGCCGACTCCGGTTACGCCTGAGATTAAGATTAAGGAAGTTCTAAACCCTTATTTCGGTGCTTTCCACGGTTTGTGGAGGACGAAGTCAGCTGGGCTTGACTGATAAATTTAGGTTGTCAAAAAAGCAGGGAAAAGATTTCTTTCTATCAGAAATTTTGAAATGAAATCTCAGAGGCAGCGTTACTAACCTTTATTCCATTCGCCAAACATTGGAAAGTTATCGTTAAACACTGCGTTGAGTCGCATCACCAAGCACATGAAGTTTGGACTACTTGCACACTTTTCGTACAGCCTTTTTTTATTTTACTTTCGTGATGACCGATTCCACCTACGAATCCCTGCATTTCTCCGTCAGAATACTTTTACTTTTGAGTTAATTAATAAACTTTTTCCTTTCACCGATAACCTTTTCCTTTCCTTTCTTAAATCTTTCTTAGCGTGAAATGTTTTCGTCGCTTTGCTCTGCGGATTTCGTGTCCGGCGCGGAGTCTCTGCTTTCATTCTTTCAGTCGCTGTGATTGATTTGTCGCGTCATCTCATGAATTTGATAAAAACAAGCAACTTGATCACGAAAGTACAATACATTTTCCTCTCATTGACAGATTTTTTTCCATAGTTGTTTCATAAAAGCGATAGACCACTCTTTCTATGGGTTTACCGGCGCAATAAACCACTTGGGATGTTGGGAGAACACTCGAGAAGCTTGGAAATCACTCGCCTGACGGCTCGTGATTTACAAGCTTTTCTCGTGTTCTCCCAACATTCCGCGTGGTTTATTGCGTCAGTAAACCCATAGAAAGAGTGGTCTATTGCTTAAATAACCATTGAATATCTGAAGCAATAGACACCAAAAATCATTCTAAATAACCGTTAAAAATTGTTAAAGCATAAAATACAAACATGCTTAGTCTAAACTTTAAAGTAATGGACAAGGACAGGTTTTGGTCACACAGTCTCTGGCTGTGTGGCTTTCTTTATAGCTGCTTATTTTGTAATTAAGCTATTAATAGCGGAGCTCCTGCGCGCCGAAGGCGCAAGAGCGGAGCGCCATACCTTAGAAGATTTAGTAACTCATCGATCTGAAAAATTTTGGTTGTCACGTGACTGTCCGTACGTATGTCCGTCCGTCCGTTCGTACGTCCGTACGCCAATACTTTGAAAACTAAGAGAGCAGCACCATTACCATGGCTACATCTTTAATTTTTGGGCATCCAAGCTATTGATAATTGACAGCTGTCACAACAAGCTATCCGCTGACCAGTATCACGCGACGATATCGCGGGCTCAGGTTTAGAGTTCATTGAGGTTGCGTGTGTTTTTAAAGATGACCGTTAACCAGTTACTGATTTTCCGATTGGATCGCGGGCTTAAGTCAGGTTATTTCTTTGGGGGAGAAGGAGGGAGTACTCGCAAAGGCAAAATTTCGGCGTAAAGTAATCCCTGGCGCATTCTTAACTTTTCTTGTGACATCTTCCTTGCATAATCCTATCTTGGAAAGTTCTTAATATATTGCGCACGTAATTTATACAATCTTGGTTAGGATTATTGTGTATAGTTTAATTTGTTAAAATTTAACTCGAAAAACTAGCAAAACCACACGTTGAAAAATCACATGTTCACAATTGATCATTTTTTGAGTTTCTGATCCGAGAAAAATAATTCTCTTTTTTACTTCATGGTAAGTTTTTGCAATCTATAAGTTTTTGGCTAAATCTATATATTAGTTTTTGGCAACATTACCTCTATATCATATAGCAAATGAAGAAGCCTGCGGCTCGTGTTTTTTACATTTCCCTCGTGTTCTCAAATGCCCGTCATGTTTTATCACATTGTAATTAATACACGGCTTAGGCTTCTTTATCTGCTAAATAACACGGCTTTTTGAACAATCAGAGCGCGCACAGTGACTTACCTATATTACAAAACTCGATAGAAACAGAACTAGTACGAGCTGTTCACGTAACGATGGCGCGAGCAAAGAGAATTTACAGCTTGATGATCTCGCTTGTCGGCTCGTGTTGCCACGGCATTTCACGTTCTCCCAAACTTCCACTCGTGTTTTTATGAAACAATAAGATTATTAATTATATAGCTCCATCGAAATCCAATATTGCCAACAGACCTATTCTTTATTAATGTTTGCAAAGTGTCCAAATTTAAAATAAATTGGATAGCTTTTGCTCGAACGTTTAGTTTAGCTTTGAACAAACTGTCCAATTTGAGAAAAATCTGGATACTTTCAATCAACCAATGAAATGTCAAGATAAATAAAAGAACCGAGTATTGGCCAATCAGGTTGCAGCTATTATCACTGCCATCAAACGTCACCGAGCGATTTTAGCTCGCTAAGTTTTCTTATGTTTTGATAATGGCGGAATTTCCCGACTTTTCTCTGCATTTTTTTGACGTCTAAACTTTCAAATGGAGTTTTCAGCTAGGTTTCCAGAGATAGATGCTACTGATTTACTCGAGATGAGGGAGAATAATCAGAACAAGAACGCTCAAACAAGCAAAAAACCTGGGTTAAAATGTCTGACCTGTGACGTGCTGAGCGAAGCGAAGTGAGAAATACTGTACTTTTGAGGATAAAATATTTGCCTTGCTCATCTGTTTTTGGATCCTATATAATTAATAGGTAATAGCACTACAAGCTTGTCCAATTTGGAAATAACTGGATTCAAAAAATTCCTCGGACTGCCAAATTGGACTCGGCCTACGGCCTCGTCCAATTTTGGCAGTCCTCGGAATTTTTCTCATCCAATTATTTCCAAATTGGACAGCATGTAGTCCTATTACATATACATATCAGCTCCAGATTTATAGAAATCGAGAGCGAGTAATCTAATTGTTTTAGTATAAATCTACTAGTCGTTCAAAGCCCCATCTACATCCTCTTCACAGACACCTCCAAAACGCAAAGAAGCGGCCGTTACTTTCTTAACAAGGGCACCGCTACTCTACTCACTATCTACAACAGAATAGAGGGTTATTAGCGTGACAAATGAGAGAGCAGCATTCGTCATAGAACGCTAGCAGATTTATACTAAAAACGCGATAGAAACACGGTACATGTCTTTTATGACTTAAATACATACAAGTTAAATTAAGAATGGAGTACAAAAGAACAAGAAAAGTGGCACTCCCGTTTTTCTACATCTAAGGAAACCACACGATAACTGAGGACGTTCTTGCCTAGATAGGAAGCTCTTTACAGTAAAGAGTTGTGAATTATGGAACTCAATGTCATTGCCATTCAAAGAGGGCTTTTTAAGGATCTTTTTACTAAACAACAATGTCAAAATCATTTTATACAGTTTAATAAATTTTATTCATACGCTTTTATAACCTTGTATTTTATCTTTATGTAGTTAACTTAATTAGTTAGTGGGGATGTTTTTAATGCTTTTTCTAGCTTGCAATTTATTACTTAGAGAGCCACACGTTTACTAGCTTTATAATTTCGAGCAATCCTCTGTAACTAAAGATTTAACTTACTTACTTACCCTCTCAATCTCACTGAATAAATAGACATGCATACATAAGGCCAAGACACATTATGCGACAAATCGCTGCGACACGTCGCCGCGACAGGTTGCTGCAACAAATCGCCTCATGTGACATGTGAATATCATTTTTGCTGCGATCTCTCGCACGAATTCAAACTGGTTTGCATTCGTGCGACATATCGCAGCGACAAAATAAGCGCAAGCAGCCTTGTCGCAGCGTGTGTACGCTTCTGCGACAAGTCGCTGCGACAAAAGTTAAATCAACCAATGAGGGAGCGTCAATTCAAAATGGCGACCGAACATATGGAACTATATAGACAACCTGAGCGTAATAAGCCCCTCTTTCTTCTCTTCTTGACACCCATTGTCGTTTCTAGCATCTTCTTTCGACGTGTTTATATTCTTCGTCATCTAACAGCATCATTAACAGAACTAAGAGCTTCTTTTTGTTTGACCTTCGCTGTATTGGCTGGTCCACCATGTTAAATTTGGAAACTAGTTCACCTTTCCCCTCTTCCAAATTCGCTTGCGTGCACCGAACAAGTGTCTTGTCGCAGCAACAGTTCAGACGAGGTGTCCTGTCGCATCGACGGAGCGACTTGTCGCCGCGATGTGTCGCAGCGATTTGTCGCATAGTGTGTCTCGGTCTTTATACTTTGAGGCGACAATTGAAGGCAAGTTCACGAAACAGTTCTTGATTTACTTAACCTAGTTTCTAAGCCCCCTCCCCCACCCACCTAGCTCTTAAACTTGCTCGCTTGCCAAAGCGAAAAGCCAGAAAGTAGGACTGGACTGGGAAACTCAGACCCTAAACCCAGGCTATCTGGCAGGTTGTACGTACAGTTTATACTACATAAAACTAGTCCTATAGTCGGTTCCAATAATGCCGGACTCAAAGCCGAGCCGCTTAATATGTGTAAATGATATCCTAGTGAAAAAAGAAAACAACAACAACAACAACAACAACAATAACAGCTCACTAAGGCCATCCAAAGTTTTTCCCTACAGCTTTGTAAAATTCTACGTTGAATGGCCTATAGAAGTCACGAAGCAACGTTACCACATCTTCATTGATAGAGGGGTGTGGTCGTCCCTTGGTTTCCGACAAGCAACCAGATTTAGCTTCGTCGTCTCCCTCTTGAGAGACTGGTACTAAGCATGGGAAACCCTTTGTTTCATTAAAGTAGTATAACTTTTCGTCGATAAACGGCTCCAAGCCCAAAAATTTCTCAACGGATTTCATCTCATTGACGGGGTTTTTAACCAACTCTCCGCCGTTAACGAAGTGAATTTGCTCAAGGGGGAAATATTCCAACCATCTTCTCAAATGATTCATGTACAAGCCAGTGGTGACTATCGTACTCGATGCTCGAAGAACACGGTGCTGCGAATCTTCAGTTACGTATTCCTCAAAGGGTCTCAGGGTACCATGCTTTTTGTCAGACAACTGTGCATAATCTGAAATCGCACGCACTGTTGGATCACGAACTACCACCAACAGCTTAACAGAAGAGGACATTTGATGAACAAGTCGTGGGGCGTCATCTGTTACAAAATAGGCAGGCGTTTTCTCGACTGTGATTTGGTTTCTCAAAGACAGCGGCATTTGGGTTTTGTACCAGTCCAACCCCAGATGATAGTTCTCCTGGCGGTCAAAGAAGTGCAACTCTCTATAACATGCTCTTACGTTGGGGTGACGCGATAGAGAATTGATCAGCGCCCTGGTTCCTCCTTTCCTTATGCCGATGATAAGCGTGTTCGGAAGACGTTGCTCCCAATCGTTTTTCGTGTCGGCAATGTAGAGTATGTCATTGCTTTGCGTCGGAGGAGATAACAAGTCGAAGCTCTGTTCAGTCTCGGTGAGCGTAAAAACGGTCGCTAAATCTTCAGACTGTGGCTGATTGTAAAAAATGCTGAATAAAATTGCGGCAAGTATGAAAATGCTTGCAAAATAAAAATAAAATCTCCTTCTGATCCTCTTTAATAGCTGCATCAGGAATTATCTAAGAAAGCTTTTCAAATTCGTAGGCTTGGCGATTTTTTGTGGACTGGTGGCAATTGGTGGGAGTAGAACGTAACCTTGATCTTTATTTGATCTAACTTCGACGTCGCCGACCAATCTATGACGAAACAAAACGTTAGTTTTAAACACTGTGATAATGTTCCATTTATAAACGGGAAATACAACATAATTCAAAACGGCACGAAGATTCTGAAGCATTTCTACCGCGAATGATAGAAAATTATTCAAGCAACAAATCGGCTAAGCTTAGATATTATTTGAGAGTTCGTTAATTCCAAACACGTCTTCATTATCAGAGTGAGTCAGTGAGTGCTTCAAATTCTAGGTCTTTAGAGGGGCATCAGTGAAATTTTCTTAGGAACATAAAGGATGCGTGTTTTTGGACCATTTACGTGATAAAATTGGCACCTGGAGATCCGTTAACAACGAAGTAAAATAAATTGCCTTATTTAAAGTGTTCTAATTTTACGAGCATTTACTTTCTTGTTTATCCTTCTATGTTACATATTTCCTTACGAAAGACCAGCAGTGCACATGATACTTTCGAGAGACTCTAAGATACGATAAGCAGGATATTTGGAGTAAGATACGATAAATAAATGCCAAAATTCTCCCTACCTTTAGATGTAACAACATGTAGCGATGGTTCTTAGACCGTCACAGCTCATCATGGCCACTCCAAATTCATATGCTAAAGGCAATACCCTCGTGTTCAAACAATAACCAGCTTGAAGAAAAATTTCAACATTCCCTGTCTGGAAAAAAAAGATACACTCATAAACCTCGAACTTCTGGCCAGAAATATTAAAAGATTGATACTTTTTGAATAAAAAAAATCGAACATCCGAATGAGATGTAGGACGATTTAAATTTAGCAGGTTTAATTATTTTCACAAGATCTCTGTAAGTTGACACTTGTACATATAATTATCTAGGACTTTCGAAAATACTTATTTCAACTGCTTTGTCGCCAAGGAGGAGTTATTCATCATTTATTTATCTTTTTGTTATGCATGAGATTCGGGTTAACTAACACTGAACAATGGCAAGAGGTGTAATGTTTTCT